TGGAAAAAGTCTACAATATTGCACCGAAAATTATAATTTTTTAATGTCTAAGTTAAAATTTTTTAAAGTATGAATTATAACTCGTAAATGACATAATCGATACCAAAATATTATGATTGATCATAAAAATTACAAATTTTAAATATTAAGTTATAACTTTTAAAGTTCAATTTATAATGTATATCGAAAAAATTATAATTACTTGATAAAATCATGAATTTCTTCAAATAAATAAAACTTCTCATTTAAAAAGTAAAACTACACTATGAAAAATGATAACTTGCATTATTGTATCAACAAAAAAAAAAATGAGTACCATGAAATTATCCTAATTTAGGGCATATCCGACATTTATCTTTTTTTAAACTAAAATTTAAATTTGAGTAAAAAATTTTTTAAAAACCTTATGTAATACTATATTCAAACTCATACCAAATTAAGAGAAATTCAAAATTTTAATCCAAATTAACAGAAATACAAACTTTTACTCAAATTACCAATAATTAAATTTCACTTTCCTTCAAATATCTGATGTTCATACTCTATATCATTTAAGTTTGAATTTATCATTCTTCGTAATTTTTAGTTTTTCTATTAGAATGTTTTGTATGGAATAAAGTTTTTTACCTATTTTTTTATTTAATTTTTTTTTTTGTTCAACTGTCAGGAGTGTTCCGCCCAGTAACACATATTTCAATTAAATTTTTTTTTTTGGTTTGGTCAAAGGTCAGTCATCCCCACTAAAATTAGAATATTTATGAGAGATAAATCTCTAAAAAATTATCAAAATTTAAATTCTAGATGTCTGAGTATATAATTCATCTCTAGTATCACTTAAATTATTTTTTATTTATTCAAATTATAGTAAGCGTTGACGATATTATGAGACGCCGTCTGTCTTTTATCACTAGCAAACCACGGGCTCCCTTGCCATTTCTCCTTATAGTCGGCTGCGTAAACATGACGTCGCTTCAAGTTGAGAAAGATTGTGCATAAAAAGTGCATCAGCCGACTTATAAAGATGTCCACTCTCTCTCTCTCTCTCTCTCTCTCTCTCTCTCTCTCTCTCTCTACAAGAACGAAGACCCCTTGACTGAGACAAAGAGTAATGTTATCTTTCGTTGTCGAAATGAGAACTCGAACTAGCTAGCTAGCTATCTATCTAACTTTACCAACAATGTCAAACTCTACGCCCATCCCCATTGCCGTATTATAAAGGCAGGCAGCCCAGCCGACTCTTCTCTAGTGTGTTGTGGAAAACAACAGCCCTATCTTCAAGTACATTTGGATAACACTACTTAAATTTGATCTCCAAATTTAATATACAACTATTAAACCCAATATTGTACTTGCCAAGGGCAAAAGAACAGTAGGTTAGCAGGGGAACAAGTCGATCGCACCCAGGATCCATGAAAGAGTTCCGATTTAATTTTTGTGATTGTCGTTGTTGAGGTTGGACCGTGGTGGTCAAATCAATTACAAACGGAAGGATATGCGACATAAGTTCTAAGTTCTCTAGCTAGCAAGAATTATATAACTAAAATACTACTCTTTCAACTTAATTTACTAATTTAACTTGATGACCTACCGTCATTGGATAATCAATCAGCTCGGATATTAGTTAAAAATCACAATTAATTCAATAAATTTGATTCATTAAGTTAACAAATTAAATCTAAATAATATTTTTTTAACCCAAATAGCTTATAATCTATATATATCTATTTTATATCTATATCTATACTACTTCTAAAAGTGACTTAAGGTGAAAAACTTTTAATTTCCTTAGTTGCCCTTTAATAATTCTATCTATAATGCCTACTTTATCCTTATTTCAAGAATTCTTAGAGATTTATTGGTAGCATTAATTTAATTAATAAATTCATTGTTTGGTTTGATTCTAACTTTTGATTTATCACAATAGCCTTAATAAAAAAATTAATTCCTTAAACAATTTTTCTTTCGTCTTCTTCAATTTATTACATAATTCTATCATATCCTTTCATCTTTTTATATATTAATCATGTATATAAACTTGACATTTTATTATATTCATTTGAGAAATAATAATTAATTTTAATTTTGAATTTTCTATTTTTTTTTCTTTGCTTAATCTTATCTATATCTATTTATGACCAAAAAAAAATCTATATCTATCTATGCTATCTATAAAAGTATACTAATTGGAAATTGAACAAATTATTTCAATTACTATTATAATATCCATTTAATCATTTGTCAAATATCCTCAACATATATAATTTGTAAAACTATACAAAATTCTTGACAATAAATATTTCAATTAACCAAGAGAATGTAAATCATTTCATCTTCCACTATCTGACTTCCAAGATAACTAACTAATGATTAAACATTCAATGCCACGATTATCAATTGTATAGTGGAAGTAAACAATTTCACGCCTCTTAGTTTTTTCATACTCACGTTTTTTTTTTTTTCATTTAGTTGCATGTTGATGCTCTCTTCATGTCGTCTAAGATTTGCTTGGAAGCTAGCATTGGCATTTGGAAATTTTCATATTTATATGCGTATTTTCTAACTTTATGAACCTATATGTCTAGTTGTTGAAGAAGAGTGTGAAGATTGTGTCTTTAAATTTATTTTCTATAATTGATGTCCACCTAACATTGTGCATTATATCCCCCAGCGGGTAAATTTGTGTGGTTCCTTTGATGACAGTGAATGGTTGTAAAGAGATCCTCCAATGGCCCCTATGGAGGATGGTTTAGCTAGATTTCTAAAAGTGCTCCAAGCCATAAGGTACCGACTATTATTTTTGGTAATTTACATTTTATCATCTAAATATGGTAACAGAATTTTGGGTTTTTTTTTTTTTTGAAGTTATAGACATTTATGTGCAACTCTTTTTTGGAATATTCACCAAGTATCTATGATGCTTCTTTTAAAGAGCAATATAATATTCGCCTTCATCTCGTAAATAAGAAAACTACAAAAATGAACCACTTAGTGTTGGTCATTTCTATTTTTTTTTTTTTTGGTTATAGTAAATAATACTTAAATCAATTTGAAGTTGATTCTCCCCAACTTATCATAAGGCTATACATTCACTTATTTGTTATATTCGTAGAGATGACAAACAATAGCTTAGGACTCAATCTGGTTAATGTTTGGCCAAATTTCAATGATGTTTGGACAATTGTTACTTGAGATACTAAAAAATGCAACATACTACAAAAATTGATATGCAAAATTACTCTTTATCTCTGAACTAAAAAAAAAAAAAAAAAAAAAAAAATTCCCATTCTGCACTTCAAACTCTTTTCTGCTTGTGGTCAGTTCCTGTATTCTTTATATTTCTTGGTATTTGTACACTTCAGTTTCATGTTTTTTTCTTGACTGTACTTAGGGACTAGACAACTAATTCTATATATATATGAACTCTCTAAATGCTGGCCAGCATGGCTGGCTGATGACATCCATGATGACGTTTACACAAACACCATTTTTGTTTTGGGGCCACGTGAGAGTTAATTTAGTTGAAATATTTTTATTATTGGTCTAATCTTTAGTTCAATTTGCCTTGGGGTTTGCCGAGTTTGTACAAATATTCTCCCTACCAAAATACAACATACAAAAAGTCATTTTCATAAATTACAAGGCTGAGAAACATACCAATACAGGTAGGGGCGGAGCCCCCCTTGGGCTAGGGTGGGCACATCCCCCCCCCC